ATGGAGGCAAAGGGTTGAGCAGAGAAATGGGAGGACGGGGCTCAGGCCTGGCCCAGGCCCCCTTGGTCCCGGCTGAGCTGGGCAGGCCTGCAGCCACACAGCCAGGGGCTCCGTGCTGGGCAGGGTGAGGAACAGGCCCACAGTGCAGTCTCATCAGAGCCACACACGCGTCCATCTTGCAGGACAGTGAGCTACAGTGCCATGCCCTAGGGGAGTCCTTTAAAAACAAATAAATAAACAAATGGTGCCTGAGCAATTTCATATCCAGCCAGAAGAAAGCCTCGACCCCACCACGTCACGCAGACAAGTCAGTGCCAGGTGGGATTTGGATACACCAAAGACAGAGGATGGAGCTCCTGGAATAAGACCCCAGAAACTGTCTCTGTGGCCGTGGCGGCACCAAGGATTTTCTCCAGGGAACACTCAAGAGAAAAGCTGCCACATCCTTCCCAGGCCCCGTCCTCAGAGCATCCTGCCGTGGAGGAACGCCCTCATTCCTTCAGCCATTTCCTCAGCCTGCACAAGCAGGTTGCCAGATTTTTTCACTATTATTAGCAGGGCTCAAGTCACACCCTGAACGTGTGCCTGTCTCTGCATATTTTTCCTTGAGATAATTCCTGAAAGCAGGACCGCTATCAGCATCTTCCAGGCCTTGATACCTGCTGCCCAGTCCCTTGCAGATGGTGTCCTACTCCACCATCTTCCAGAAGGTTCTGAGCCATCTCTTTCTTCACTCCAACTAACCACGTGGGAAGGAGCACTGTTGTAGAGAAACTTAACACACCTCTGCTTTAATCTGTGCACCGTGGAGTAATCCTTCCTATGCTTCTGCCACAGGGATACTGGCAGTTTGCTGAGTGAGTCCACAGAATCCTGGGAGGTGGTGGTTGAGTTGCAAAAGCAGGTCAAGACCAATCAGTGGGCGGTGAACTTGGGTGACAGGTGCCTGGAGAGTAGGGGTGCACAGAGCCATTGCAGGGTAGGTGCATTTCTTACTGTAGGCCATTCTAAAACTGGTGGTCAGTCTTTCAAAACCCAGCAGTGTGAGTACTCTGATCTAGAAATCCAAGTGTGGAGCAGACAGACAGACAGACACCACTGAGACCTGAGCAGGGAGACCAGACCTAGGCAGCAGGGCTGGTGAGGAAGGAGGTAGAGAGTGTCTGATGCATGCACAGGCTGAGGCCGGCCTCTGGGAGGAGGCCCAGACGCCTGCCCTGTCCAGGGAGAATCCAAATACCCAAAGCCCAGCTATTCCCAAAGCTCCTCACAGGATGATATTCCCATTGCTACAAGCACAGAAGCTTCGAGGCATGTACCACAGTGTCACAAGGTCCTCAGCGGACTGGCCAGAGACTCTTTTTTTAAATTCAAGACATTAGCACAAAGCTCTGTGGACACAGAGCCACTGGGACTTCGTAAACAAAAACACTGAACAAAGAACAATGGCACACAGTAATGAGCCAGAGAGAATGGCCTTCAGGACACTCCAGAGTCCTGCCAACTGGAGGCAGAGTGTTCCTGAGCAAGCAGGTCCAGGCAGAGGGCGTCCAGGCTGCCCCTCTGCTGGCCACACGGCTGTCGCTGAGGGCTCCACACCACCCCCCCAGGCCCCCTCTCTCCCTACCTGCCTCCTGGAGACTCCTACTCCACCCCCGAGGCCCTGTGCTCTCTGAGGAGCAGCAGACATACCTCAGCTGCCCACCAGAGACCTTGGCTAGCTGTCAGTCTCCCGGTGACCAGACTTCCTGCTCAGTAGAGGGCAGGCTCAGCCATCAGCTTGGGAGCCAATCTGCTTGTGTGCCCACCCTCACATTCACGCTGAGCTCTGGCGCACCCTGGCCTTCCCGTGGTCCACTGCTGCGGTCCATCACGGCCACACCCTTGGCCAGGGCACAGGGAGCTCAGAGCAGGCCACTGCTGGCTTTGTTCCTTGGCCCCTGCCACGGTCCTGGTGGTGGTTTTAAACAGCTGTCTGCGTACCAGCAGGCAGTCCTCCACATCCCGGGCGTCCTCCTCGCAGCGTGGACTGGAAATACTCAAAGCAAACGCGGCATCTGTCCCCACAAGCAGACCTTCCCTTGTCACTGTTTCCTAAACAAAGCAGGGTGGCGACTCTCTACGCAGCGTTTCTGTGGGACTAAGCCCTGAAGTCGTCCAGAGATCTTAGACTCACAGGAGGCTGTGCACAGGCCCCGGGAAAATACTGCACCATCTGATGGGAGGGACGGGACCCTGCGGCTCAGGGTACCCAAGGGGTCCTGGAGCCACTCCCTCAGATACCACAGGAGGACCGTGTTTTCATCTGCCAACAACGCACTTTTGTTCTTGATCCATGGAAGCGAGTCAGATCCCATCCAGTGTCCACAGCCTTCGGAAGCTGCTTGTGCCTGGAGCTCGCCCAAGCTCCCTGCCCACACAGGACCCAGCAGTCTCTTTCTAGGGGATGGCTTTCCTTGTCCCAGAATGGCGTCAATAGTAACCTTCCCTCTCCCAGGTGTCCGGCTCCAGGCGACGATTGTGATTCCCTCGCCCACCTGCCTAGCGCTGCTGGCCTCTCCACGACCTGCCTCTGAGGCTGCTCCAGCCTGGCCTTCCTGACTGCCTCCTGCCTTCCACCCCACACCAACCCCACCTGGAGACATCCGTCCCGGGCTCGAACTCAGGGTCTCAGCTCAGGGCCGGTCTTCGGGACCGCAGTGCGGTGCAGGGTGCCCGCTGGCTGTGACTTCCCCTTGGCTGATTCCCGAGTCCCCCCCACAGGACCATCAGCCCCCACGCCAGCACTCGGCCAGCATTCCTGGGTGGGTGCTCAGGAGGAGCCTCCCTGGGCAGCCCTGCAGGGCAGCACAGCACTCTCCACCCCTCACACGGCCTCCACGGGCTTCCTGACACGCAGGTCTGCTCCCAACGGGCACCTTGTCCAGTGTCAGAAGTGTCCCTGAGCCAGGGCACATCCTGCTGCAGGGTGGTGCTGGGCAGGAGAGCGGCCAGGGCCCCAGGAGGGCAGGCAGCAGGGGCCTTTCAGGGCTGGAGCATCGTCGTCTGTCTCTCTTCTGCTTTGGAGCAGCTGCCCCTGGCTGCTGTAAGACAGCTAAGCCTGCCGCGCAGGGTTCCCAGGGAGAGTGCCCTGAGCCCCGCCCCCTGTCCAGCTGCCTCCCTCTCAGCAGGTGGGTGTCTTCCTGGAGCTGGTCCCATGAGGCCAGCTCCTGGAGAGGAGTCCTGGCCTTTTGCTCTGTTTGGGGTTTTGCGGTACGGGGGACTGAACCAGCGTGCTTTACCTCGGAGCTACATCCCCGGAGCTTTCCTTTTTTACTTTTGAGGCAGGCCCTCACTAAGTTCAGTTGCTGGCCTCAAACTCGTGCTCCTCCTTCCTCAGCCTCCGAATAGCTGGGGCTACAGGTGTGCACCATCCCACCCTGCCAAATTCACATTTTCTATGCCCTCTCTGGCCTTGACTTCAGCAAATATTCTACAGACCAAGACTCGGCCATATTTAGAGGTGAGTAGGCAGTGCCAGTTTCAAGTGAGGTGAGAACAGGGCAGATCTGTGAATGCTTCCTGCAGCCTCGTTTCTAACTGCAACAGGAAGCTGCAGCTTCTCAGGAGAGTCCCCAGGCCAACTCAGCCCCACAGCTCTCACCTGCAGAAGGGACTGTGGCGGGAGGAGGAACAGGGCTCTGGAAAAGACACCGGGACAGGTCAGGTGCGGGCAGCATTTGCTGAGGGACAGTGGCCCCAAGGCCATGGGAGCAGGCACACCACTGGCTCACCGTGCCAGCCCTTCTAGTGTAGGCGCGCAGCCCCGGCCCCAGCCTCCCTCCCTTCCTCCTCAGCACCGCCTGTGCTGGGAGCTGCTCCTGTCCTATTTCGCAGGGGGAGCTGATGGCAGGAGGGCTTGGACGAGGACAAGGCTGGCAAGCTTCCCAGTGAGGGGTCAGCTGGTGACTGTGGCAGGCGTGTGGGGTTTGCCCCCAGAACACAGGAAGGCCAGGTCCCCTCAGGACTTCGCTTGTGAACACTGGGTCCAAATTCCACATCGTCATCAGGAACAGGACTCAAGTTTTGCTGCCGCCAGGAGGACAGTACGAGGAGGCCGGGTGACAGAATGCCCTGCACGGTGACCGCATGTCCTCCAAGAGCAATACTTTTGCCAGCAGGAAGAAAGGGACAGAGAATTACAGCCTGGGGCAGGACGCCAGCCCCGAAGTCCAGGGCCTCCGACCTCCGGGAGTCACCCTGCCCTGAGCTGTCCACCCTAGTCTGAGGTCACCTTTTCTCTCCAGATCGTTTTTCTGCTTTCTCCTTCCCAGGAACTCACCTGCCCTTCCTAGTGGCTCCTGAGGGGAGGTGCAGGCAGGAGGAGAGGGCAGAGGTCATGCCAGAGATGGAAGGAGGTGGGGGCCAGGGGCCTGGCACTGAGCAGGCCCCTCACGCTCTCCCCCAGAGGCCACCCCCAGCCTCCAGCACAAGCTCAGTCCCTCTCTAAACCTTCCCTGTAGGTTCCGAGGACCTCGGAGCCTAAATGTCCAGACTGGAGGTTGCCGTGCCTCCCACCCAGGGTCTGCTGGGCTCCACACCCCTGCTCAGCCTGTTCAGCTCCTCCCCACCAAGCCAAGGTCCCCTTTCTCCCTGTCCTCCCAGAGGGGCCACCTCAGCCCAGTCTGTGGAACTCAAGTCCACTGTGGAGCTCGGTGGACAGTCGGCGTCACTTCCAGGGATGGGCTGTTGAAAGCCCCGATGCCCCATGTGGGAGGCTGTCCACCAGGTGAGCATCCTCCCCTCCGTGGGGCCATCTCCGTGGTGCCTCTGCCCACAGAACCCTCTGGCCACTTTCCACTCCCCTCCGGAGACCTGTCTGTCCTGAGTCCCCTGGGGAACCCCTGGGGGCCTGTGGGACTGGGGGTGGGCACCCCTGCGGAGACCCGACTGGCCCCCCAGGCCAGCCTCGGGGCTCTGGGGCTGGCGGAAGGGAGGGAGGGGCCGGCTGGGGGGCCCACCTTGCTCTTCTCCTGCTGCAGCTCGATCTGGATGTGGGTGAGCTTGGCGCGGAGCTCCTCGTTGGCGGCCTGTAGTGCAGCGAATGCCTCTGCCTTGTCCCCCTTGGCCCGGCTGCCCGCGCCCTTCTTGGACATGGTGAGGCTGGGTAGCCAGAGGGGCGCCCAGGGGCAGGTGCTCCGTCTGGGCTGGGTGTCCACGCTCCCAAGGGTGACTCCCTGGCGGCCGCTCCACTACATTGTCTCCTCACCTGGAGGGAAAGCACACCTGAGTGAGTGTAGCCAGATGCCCACGTGCAGCCGGGGCTCAGGAGGCTGGGGCAGGCTGTGCCCAGACCCCAGGGCACCTGGCCCTCCCTCCCGTCATGTCCCCAGTGGGCTCCATACCCAAGGCATAATGAGCACTCAGCGTTGCCCACTCTCCAGCTTTAGGAGGAGGAACCTGGCACCCAAGTTCAGACCCAGAATTTTGTACTGGTATGAGGCAGAGATGGCAGAGGTGGGCAAACCAGGCCTTCTTAGGTGGCAGAGTGGAAGGCCGCGGCTCCAGCCCCCTCCCAGGACCCCAGAACTTTGCCCAGGAAACTTCCAAGATGATTGAGAGCAGGGTCCCGAAGGGGACGAGCACGTTGTTCAGAGCCCGTTACCGACACAGCCTCATGCCCACTGCTGCAGAGCTGAGAACGTGCTCCATGGGTAGGAGGGACACCTGCCTTTCAGAGGGAGGGACTCGTCACGTGACACAACAGGGATGAGCCCCAAGCACATGACACCCCGTGAGTAGAGCCAGTCACAAGAGGACCACCCAAAGCAGTCCACTTACATGGTGTCTGGCCAGTGAGACAGCAGGCAGAGTGGACACGGTGGGGCCAGGGAGAAAGCAAGGAGCCTCCCAGGGCAGGGACCGGGTGGGGGAGGAGAAGGTCTGAGATCTGATGCTCAGAGTGCGGAGGAGCGTCCGCCCCGAGCTGCGGGCTCCATAGTGCTCTGGATGGTGGGTCTTACGCTGCGTGGCTTTTACCACAGTTTAGAACATTGTTTTAAACATGGACCTTCCCCAGAGAGGGAGTGCACACTGCAGGCTTCAGGACTTGAATCTGGGGGGAGGACAGAAGGTGTGTTTCACTTTACAACTAAAGGTGAATACTCAGTGGTCCCTTCTGAGATGTAAGAATGGGCATAGCCATTGCTTTACAGAGGGACACTGGGCATTTGAAATGCTCTCCAGGGGTGGTACAAATGGCTTCACAATAACAGAGCTGGACACAGGGTCAACACAGGTGCATGGGTGTGCTTCTGCATGTGCTGGCATTGACTGTGACCCAGGGCCACCCATCAGCTCAGGATATGAAGGACATCTTGGCTGAGGATGGGACTCTAGCTGAAGAGCCCACAACCCAGACTCATGGCCAAGGCCATGATGACCCAGAAGAGTGCAGGCCCTAGTCTGTTGGAAGCGGCAGGAGCCACGCCTCTGGCTAAGATGAACACAGATCAGGCCACCTGAACAAGTAGGTGAGAGATGGAGGGATGGACATGAGACAGGCAGACGAGCAGGTGGGCAGGCAGATGGTGGGGGCTCTCTTCTCTCTCCACCTCTGACTACAGGTCCAGTGGCCCTGTATCTGCCTGGGACACGTAGCTCTCTGCCCTGTGGCCTCAGCTTTGGTAAAGCGTCACATGTCACCTGAGCCCCCTCAAAAGGTTGCCGTCAGCTCCAGAGCCTCGAACCCAGGCGGGAGGACTGGGTGACCCCAAGTTGGAGGGCTGGGTGAACCCGGGCGGGAGGGCTGGGTGACCCCAAGTTGGAGGGCTGGGTGAACCTGGGCGGGAGGGCTGGCTGAACCCAGGCAGGAGGGCTGGGTGACCCCAAGTTGGAGGGCTGGCTGAACCCAGGCGGGAGGGCTGGGTGACCCCAAGTTGGAGGGCTGGGTGACCCCAAGTTGGAGGGCTGGGTGAACCCAGGCAGGAGGGCTCACTGAACCCAGGAGGGAGGGCTGGGTGACCCCAAGTTGGAGGGCTGGCTGAACCCGGGCGGGAGGGCTGGGTGACCCCAAGTTGGAGGGCTGGGTGACCCCGGACGGGAGGGCTGGCTGACCCCAGCGGCCCACCCCTGTGTGTGAAAGGCAGAGGACACGAAGCCCGGAAGTGAGCCTAGAGCTGAGGGACGAGGCCCCAGGGGCACATGGGACAAGGGCAGATAGTGGCCAAGCGGACAGGCTAGCAGATGGGGCCTGCCACGCATGGTCCCTGAACTGTGATAAGCAACGCTTCGGTTCACAGGACCAGGGGGCCGAGGTGGGGGTCGGTCCTGTTACCAAATGGTGCTGAGCCAACAAGGAGAAACGACACACAGAAGTCACTTTCCAACAAGTTTCAGATAAAAATGTGGAAGTTAAAGCCACAAGAAAACACAGGTGGACACAAGCTGGGAAACAGCTGGCCTCCTGAGCCGGACAGGAAGCTCTGACTACAGAGGAGAGCTCTGGCGGCTGGCTCTATCAAGAACTCTGTCAGTGCGTGGCCATGAGGGTGGGAAGGAGGTCTCAGGGCCAGAGGAGCCCCCTGCAGAACAGATGTCTCAGAGAGCTCCCGTCAGAACATATGGAGAAGCAGGACAGCCCGAGGGAGGACGGCAGAAGCCTTGGACAGGCACTTCACAGGAGAGGGTGCCCAGGAGCACAGGACAGGGGCGGGCTCTGTGGGAAGGAGGGAGGGGCAGAGAGGTCCTCCATCCTGGGTCTGCCGGCCCCCTGCAGGGATGGTGGCCAGCGCCCGTCTCTGCGTGGCCTCGTGAGGCTTGGAAGATGGGCCCTAGCGAGTCCGCACTCTGGCTTCTCCTCACCTAGCCAGATCGCCGCAGCCAGCGGGCAGTGAGAGCCCGGGAGCAGCCAGGCTCCTGTGCCGAGCCTCCATCCAGAGCATCAGAGCTCTGCCCCTGAGGGCGACCAGTCCCGGGCAACGGCTCTGCGTCTCACTGTGTCATCCTGTCACCCATTCATAAGGCCCTTTATCTTGGAAAACCTCAGAATTAGTATTTTGCAAATTAATTTAGAGCGAAATGCTATAATGGTTGGTTCTGAGCATTCTGTCTTAGTAGATGTCCTTCCAAGAACTGTTGGCTCCTGATGCACAGGGGCGGGCAGGGTTCTGACAGTGAAAAGGGCCCAGGTAGGCCCAGGTGGGCACCGGGCTGGGTTCCACCAGCACAGGCAGCTGACGATGGCCCTGTCTGACTCTTGAGCTCTCGCTCTTGATACAGCTCTCTAGTATCTAGTACAAAGGGACCTACCCAGGGCCGCATCAGGAACACCCAAGGCGTGACATGCTTTCTCCCAGGGTGGGGCCCTGCGCACCAGCCTGGTGGAGGACAACAGGTGCTGGCCCGCTGCGGGCTGCGGCTGGCTCTGCGGAGGTAGCTTCCTAGTGCTCTGCATTCGAAAGGCAGGACTTATGTTATGCACAGCCCAGACAGACTGCTGAGGAGATGCGGCCAGCGGCTGACCGGGAGCTGCTTCCTGCTGGCCTCTGCAGGTGCCACCTGAGCTTCCTCCCATGGCGTGGGCTTACCCTCACAAACATTAGTACACAGAATTAAAGTTGATGAATCAGAACACATTGTTTAGCTAACAATGGAAAAGTACACTCAGAGTCACAAAGTACCCTAATTAGTGAGGTTTTGTAGAAAATCAACAATGTCATTACCAATAAAGCTTTTGCTCCCTGTCATGTGTTATCCATGGAAAAAAATCATTGAGTATTTTTTAAAATCTATGATTTCTTAGGAACAAAACTACACCATTGCAGCAGAAGAAACGGCAGGACTTTAGGGAAGAGCCAGGGCTGAGTTGGGAACCCCAGGGGATGCCCCTGGAGGTGTACAGAACAAGGAAGCCCTAGACCCTGTCAATAAGTCCCCTCACCTCATAGGAGGGATTCCGAAAAAGTGGTCAGGGCTAGAGACCTAGAGCGGGGTTTACCTTGACTTGCCCAGGGCCCAGCTAGAGCAGAGAGATGGCCCTGAACCCAGGACCTGTCCTTGGTGTTCAGAATGGCCTTCGGGTCACCCAGAGCAGGAAACAGGGCTTCTAAACCTGTTCCAAAGCCACAGGAGTCACACTGGGTGGCGCTGACCTAAGGCAAATGCACAGGAAATGGGGTAGGAGACGGGAGACAACCCCACCCAGGCATTCATGAAAATGAGCTCATATGCAAATAAAAATCATTTTTAACAAGGTGCCAACACCATTCACCAGGGAAAAGACAGTCTTTCCAACAAAACTGTGCTCAGGGAACCAGAAAGCATACGCAAAAGAATGAGGTGGGACCCTCGCCTCGAATCCTAGGCCAAAGCTAAGGGAAAAGAGCCCTAAACAGAAACCCAAACTACAGAACTCTTAGAAGAGAACAGGGCTGATCTTCAGATATTTCAGATTTGGCAATGATTTCTCAGGTGTCAAACAGAGGCAACAAAAGGGAAAGTAGATTGGACTACACACAATTCAAGACCTTCGTACATCCAACAGCACTAGGAACAGCACAAAGCAACACAGAATGAGGGAAATAAGTGAAAAATCCTATACCTGACAAGATGCAAAGAATTCCTAGAACTTAACAAGAAGGCAACCTGATTTTTAAAATGGCCAAAGGATTTGAATAGAAATTTCTCCAAAGACACAGAAGTGGCCAAAAAACTCATGAAAACTGGCTCAACACTAATTGTCAGAAAAGAGCAAACTCAAACCAGCATGAGCTACCTCCTCACGCCCATCAGGAGGCTACGGTCAGAACACCACCAGCTACCCGGCGCTGGCAAGGTGTGCAGGACAGGAGCCCTCTGCCTCAGACGGAGTGCAAGACCGTGCCGCTGCTGGGGAAAGCAGCGCAGAGCCGCCTCACAAGCGAAATCAGGACTTCCACATCATCCAGCAGCTCCCCCTGGGCACAGACCCGAAGGCACTTCCCAGGAGAGGGTTAGGATGAGCTGCTGCACACCCGCGCTCACAGGAGCGCCACTCAGGATGGCCCAGAAGAGGAGGCCACCCCAGGGTCCCCAGGCAGATGAAGGGAAAAGAACGTGGCAACCCCGCGGGTCAGAATGTCACTCAACTGTAAAAAGGAAGGGAATTGTGACGCGTGCCACAACACGGATGGCCCTTGAGGTCACTGAACCAAGGAAATGCGTCAGACATGAAAAGGAGACCCCCCCACCCCAGCGAGGGGCCTGCTGCAGCCCCCCTAGCCCAGAACC